TTATTTAAATTTTAAGAGGGTTTTAAAAAACGTGATTTTTTTTTTATAGAAAAAATTCGACAAAAATTTTGACTAGCTATAACTCTGCGAGTTTATGTTTTCATATAAATAGGGTTTCAATAAAATTCCAAACTTATCAGATTTAAAGTCAAAAATTTTCTCGAGTTTTTTCAATTTTTTTAAAGAAAAATAAAATTTTTTCCAAATCCTGGTAGCGACTGCTAAAAATTTGTTTACATTTTGATATTTTCGTGGATGCCCTTATTTTGTACGTAGAACAAATTAAAGAGGTATCACATAAATATTTAAATGTCTATATATTTTGGACAACCCTCATACGTACAGGCCGGTTTCTGAAATATCGCTTCAAATTTATCTGCCCTTTAAATACAAATTTGGTTCGCACAAAATGTGTTAAACAAATTTAAAAAGCTACTTGTCGCAAAATTTAGCTTCCACGAAGAACCGTCCGATAACGGACTGAGGCTGGTCGACTTCGCCGGGGACCGAAATGTGATATTAGGTAAGACTAAAATCAAGCAATATCCATTAAGCTACATCACCGTCTCCAGATCGAAAAACAAGATCGGCCATGTTGTGTTAGAAAGGAAGCCACGCTTCCAGTGTTTTAGACGTACGCACACTTCGTGGGTGAAACATCGAATCGGACCACTTTCTTGTTGCCTGCGACCTACATACAAGGAAAGCTACGCTCATTACGTTCCGCCGCCAAAGAAGTGGTCGGATCTCAGCGAGCCCGATAGAACAACTGGTAAGATGAGTGACAAGAAGCTGCAGAGAAAGAGGATGCCGCCTACAGGGCTACGCTGTGATCGGCGCAACGCGAGCTCCGTTGCACGGCTATAGGGAACTGAAGAGGCAAGCGGTATGCATTTGCCTCAATAAGAAGAGAGGCCGAAATACGTGAGTGCTGCTGCTGGAGCTGACGGCTTACCAGCCGGGCTATTCTAGTAGGACGGCGTGGAGCGGCTAAGGTGCATGCATCAACTCTCACGCAGAATATAGTGAGATGAATGCATGCCCGACGACTACAATTTCAGAGTGCTCTGCCAATCTAACGTGAATTAAATAAAAAAAAATAAAAAATAGGAAATAAATCAAGTAAAAAAAAAATTTTTTTAAATTATCAAAAAATTAAATAGAAAAAAGTAAATAAAATTTAACTAAGGTAAATTAATGATTTAGAAAACCAAAATATAAGGAAATGTAACAAAATAAATAAAAACAAAATTTATTTGAAATAAAATAAAAAATAATAATAAAATTAATTAAATTAAATAAGTTGAAATAAAGTACAATAAAATGAAATAGAAAAATTAAATTAAATTAAATAAAATA